TTGAATACTGTGTACAGATGTGGTCTCCTCACCTCAAAAAATATATTTTGGCCTTGGAAAGGGTTCAGAAAAGGGCAACTAGAATGATTAGGGGTTTGGAACGGGTCCCATATGAGGAGAGGCTAAAGAGACTGGGACTTTTCAGTTTAGAAAAGAGGAGACTGAGGGGGGTATGATAGAGGTCTATAAAATCATGAGTGGTGTGGAGAAGGCTGATAAAGAAAAGTTATTTATTAGTTCCCATAATAGAAGAACTAGAGGACACCAAATGAAATTAATGGATAGCAGGTTTAAAACTAATAAAAGGAAGTTCTTCTTCACACAGCGTGTTGTCAACCTGTGGAACTCCTTGCCAGAGGAGGCGGTGAAGGCTAGGACTATAATAGAGTTTAAAGAGAAGCTGGATAAATTCATGGAGGTTAGGTCCATAAAAGGCTATTAGCCGGGGGATAAAATGGTGTCCTTGGCCTCTGTTTGTCAGAGGCTGGAGAGAGATGGCAGGAGACAAATCGCTTGATCATTGTCTTCGGTCCACCCTCTCTGGGGCACCTGGTGCTGGCCACTGTCGGTAGACAGGATACTGGGCTAGATGGACCTTTGGTCTGACCCAGTACGGCCGTTCTTATGTTCTTATGTTCATTACTGTTACATTTCACATTCCTTCCTTCTTTCCCTGGGGTTATGTCTACACTGCTATTGCCTTCTTTCAACAGAAAGTCGAAAGAACAGAGGGGTTTTTCCGACAGCGGTAAACCTCTTTCTATAAGAAAGAAGTCTTTTTCTGAAAAAGTTTTTTTTTTTTAAAGGTGTGCGTGGACGCAGAAGAGAGTGTTTTTTCGGAAAAAGAGGCTTCCAAGAAAAAACACAGGTGGTGTTTTTTCAAAAAAAGAGGCCTCCAGGAAAAAACACAGGTGCCCTGATGGACACTCCATCCACAGTAATTCCAACTGAAATGCGAGCTAGCGTCCAATGAATGTGAGCGCTATCTTTCGAAAAAGGAAATCGCTTTTTCATTGCCTTTTTGCTGTGTGGATGCGCTCTCTGCAAAAGCTTCTTCCAGAAGAAGCTTACAGTCTAGATGTAGCCTGGGTTGCTTATTACACTTACACATTATCTTGCTTTAAATTACATTGCAATTTCTGAGGCAGGGTCTGTGTCTTCCTGTGTGTTTGTACAATTCTTACCATGTTGGGGTTCCATACTGAATGAGACGCTTGAATGTTACTGTAATAAAAATTATCATAATATAACCCCTTACAACATTGGAGCGAATCTATGGTTTTGAACTACACTGTACATCTTGTTTGCATTCATTAGGGGTGACACAGGACAATTTGTAACCAATGAGTATTCATATTGGATTCTGGTCTGGGGTGAAGCAACTCAAAATCAAACAAAAATTCCTTGATAAACTGTAGCTGATTCAATTTATTGGTGTATATCTAGGGTGGGGAACTTCAGGCCTGAGCTCTGGAAACAGCCCCTGGCTTGCCTGGATGCAGCCCCCGAAGCTCAGGGCAACCCCTCCCAGCATTGGCGCTGGGACTCCAGGCCCCTCGCCACCTCCCCGTGGCTCCGGTGTGCAAGGGGAATGTGGGGAGTGTCCTCCTTCTTCTCAGTCAGGGGCCACATCAGTGAGGGTTTTTTGTTTTGTTGTTGTTTGCTTCTCATTTGTGTGTGGCCCCAGACTGATTTTTCTGTGGGTCAGCAGCTCCTGACTCAGAAAAGGTTCTCAACCTCTGGGCTATGTCGAAACTGGCATGATTTTCCGCAAATGCTTTCAACGGAAAACTTTTCCGTTAAAAACATTTGCGGAAAAGAGCGTCTAGATTGGCACGGATGCTTTTCCGCAAAAGCATTTTTTGCGGAAAAGCATCCATGCCAATCTAGACGCGTTTTTGTGTAAAAAAGCCCCGATTGCCATTTTCGCGATCGGGGCTTTTTTGCGCAAAACAAATCTCAGCTGTCTACACTGGCCCTTTTGCACAAAAACTTTACGCAAAAGGACTTTTGCCTGAACGGGAGCAGCATAGTATTTCCACAAGAAGCACTGATTTCAGACAGTAGGAAGTCAGTGTTCTTGTGGAAATTCAAGCGGCCAGTGTAGACAGCTGTCAAGTTTTTCCGCAAAAGCAGGTGCTTTTGCGGAAAAACTTGCCAGTCTAGACACAGCCCTGGTGTATATGAAGGGCCAATATCACCATCACCTTTTGGTCTGAAGCTGAGATGCAGTATTAAATAGCCACCCTTTTGGGGGAGTACTGTGTACTCCTATAGGTAGGTCCTTTTCCAGTGCTGATTGCTTTGAATCAATGTGTGCTTAGATGTCTAATTATTCTCACTGCAAACATAAATAATGGCAGGAATACAAAGCAGAAGCCCAGCTGAGCCTGAAGTATTGGCCTTACACGTCAAAACTCTGTTCCTAGGCAGCAGGGTTAGAAATGAGTATGGTTGGGGATATCTTCGTCTGAATCGTTTTTGTTTGTTTGTAAATATATGCCGCTCAGTCTGATGTGTCGTAAAGGCAAACACTTTGCACAATAGTACCCTTTTGAGCCAGGGATCAAACTCACCCCTGGCCAGGAAAGGTAAATAATATTCAGAGAAGAGGAGATGAACTCCATCAGAGATATGGTAACTCCTGCTCCATCCTTCTCAGTTCTCATACATCCAGACATTATGCTTTCTATTCACTTATAATGCATTAAAATGTGTTTATCAGTCAGAGATAAACTGGGCTTATCTGATAATTATGACAGGTGAACACCACAGTATTTGTTATGAATGCTGTCAATGTTTTGCTCTAAATCAAAGTATTTCTTAGCAAATTTTTCATTCTCTGAGATTTTGTGTGTTATATATGTCCCTAGTGTATCTATTTAATGTTTTTTGTTTCATAAAGGGGCGCTATTAAGTCTGTTATATCATTTCATTTACCTTTATTGCATTTTAGTATAGCATTATTTGTTTACCTGATGTAGATATAGTGTCATTCTCCAATATGCGTTCTCCAACATGTTGATGCAACGTCAGTAAAACCAGAGCTCTTCAGCTTTGTAGCCCATTCGCAAAAAATAAAAGATACTTGTTGCTTTACAATCATAGATGCACATTCTACACACTTTCTTTATGCTAAATTTGGGCCATCTCATTAACTTTTTCCCAAATCCTCCAAACAGTCCTACAGACTGGGAAGCATGAAATCAAATATATTTCATCTTTCCAGCTGTGAAGGTAGGAACAAAAACTAACCAGCAACACAGTAGTTACCAAGAGTTCAATCCCAAATGGAATTAAGCCAACTCTGACTTTAATTTCTACCTTCTGACTTCCCCGGCTAGTCTGCCCTTCTTAGATTCTTGTTTCTGTCTGGCTTCCAGTACATCAGGTTCTTATCCATTTACTAATTCTCTGCTCCTGGGCATTCAGCAGGGCTTGGCTAATATGGTTGTTTTAAAGAGACTGGGCCAGTATAAATTACTCACAATATCTGTGAGCGAAAACATGCCAAAACCTGAGCTGCATATCTAACAATACTCAAAGGACCAAATGCAGAGATGATGCATATGGTGGCATAAGTTAGACAACTTTCACTTAGGGCAGGTCTACACTAGAAGAGCTAAATTAGTGCAGCTGCACTTATGCTTTATGCCAATAGAAGAATGCTCTCTCCTCGGTGTAATTATTCTACCACTGTGAAAGGTGGAAGCTATGTAGGTAGAAGTTCATAGCAACAGTATAGATAGTGCTTAGATCACTGTAATTTGTGTCTCTCATGGTGGTGTTTTTTTCACACCCCTAAGCAACATAAGCTAGATCGACATAAGTGGTACTGTAGAACTGCCCTTAGATGTATTCTTCCATTATGTTAGGGAGTGTGAGTTGATGTAACTTACTGCTTTATCTTCTTCTAAAACTAGTATTCCACCTCTGACACCAGTGTTGCTCTCCTGCTGAGTGGTAACAAAATTCTGGAGTCATCTGGCTCAGCCTCCCAGTGGAGAAGGAAATCAATTATGCACAGTCAAGGTATATTCTAAACGAAACTTGCTTGATTTTATACACCAGTTCTGGAACAGAGATGGTGACAAATGGTATCCTGGCACTCCATTGCTCAGTTTCCAGAACTTTAGTCTAGCAAACCATCTTGCTGCTTCCAACAGCTTTCCTTACAGCCAAATCAAAAACAGTAGAAGCATTATTTGTAACACTTAAAATTAGCTAACGGTCAAATAAAATGAATTTGGGGAGATTATGTGTAGACTGCCATAAAATTATACATGCAGGGAAGCTGGACCTGCAAAAGGAGCAGATTAAAACAGGAGGGGGACTACTCAATTTAAAACCTTCCTCATCCTTAACATATAAATTTCACCATCTTAGACAAATATTTCAGGGCTGTGAGAAATCTTATGTAAACCTCCAAATACATCAACTCTGAATTTGGTTCAAATCCTGCAATTAACTAACCTCCCCCCCCCCAAAAAAAATTGTGGTGCTGGATAGAAAAGCAAAGCACCCCACCTTTGCTACCACACTTGGGGTATGGCTACACTGGTGTGGTGGCTTTTTTCGAAGAAGGTATGCAAATTGCACTCGCATTCGCATATATTCTTCCTTTTTTTTTCAGGAAGAGGATTTTCTGATATTTGGCTTGTCTACATGGGGCCAAATGTTCTGAAAAAACCCTCTTTCAGAAGCCCCCTTATACCTCGTAAAACAAGGTGTATAGGGGGCTTCTGAAAGGTTTTTTTCCCCAAACATTTGGCCCCATGTAGATGGGCCAAATATCAGAAAATCCTTTTCCAGAAAAAACGGAAAATGATAGGCAAATGCGAGTGACATTTGCATACCTTTTTTGGAAAAAAACACACAGCGTAGCCGTACCCACTATAATACGTTTACTACTCTAACAAGTCTGTTAGTCCTCGTGATTTGGCCATTGAGACTGGAATTGTATAATATTTTTCTCACTATGTTTCTGTTCCTTTTGATAGGCAAATTAAGCTCTTGGGACCTTCTGATTTGCTTATCTTCCAGCAAAACTGATGACACAGATTGTATTCCAATAGATGGCTTCAATCAGTTAGAATTGTTCCAAAAGGTAAAGTATTGACATGTCATCTTTTGTTTAGCACAAAGTAACAAAAATTGTATTCAGTTATCAATGTATGGCCTAAAACTGTGGTTCATTAAACTATAAAGCAAGTCTGTGTTTCCAAGTTCACTGCCCACTCCAGTATATTTATCTTATACTGTATTTGCATTCTTGTAGATGTTCTATCCAGAGATCAACAGCAAAGTCTTAATGCTTTGAATTTGCATGTGGGTTAATATTTTGATATTCATAGGAAATGAAAATTGTTGTAGCTGGTTGTCATGTTTTGCTTTTTGTCTAATCTGAATGTATGGACTTGATACCACAATCAGAATTCTACTGTCATGCATCACAAGGAATATAGAAGTAAAAGCAAATTGCAGCAAATGCTTCTCTGAGAGAAGAAACTTTAGGAATGTAAAAAAACAGCTAGAAAATACATTCAGTGTTTCAGAATGATTGGATCTATTCAGTCAAATACAAATGGAGATTGTGCCACTTATGCATGGGCTGCATTGGCTCTAGGAAATGTATATAAACATTGTCATTTTACATACATTAATACAAGCATCTCTCCAAACAATGACTTTGGCTCTGCAGCTGACAGAATGTGGATGGACTGCTGCACCATGTGGAGCCTGCTCTGGAGTCCTTTTGAATTTGCACATGAACAGCAGCCGACACGCATACTGTCAATTGCAGCATCAAAGCCAAAATTAGCTAGTCTTCTAAAGAGGTCCATAATTGGCCCTCAATTTTTCACCTGAATTTTGCAAATTGCAGGCATAAGTTAGGTTATATAGTCATCAAGGTTCCTGATTCAATATTTAATTTGCAGGTGCAGACATGTTAGTGACTGAAATTGCACAGTTATTTGCATCTGCAAAAGTGTGGAAATAAAAGTATAGGCCTATATTGAGTCATAATTTCAAAAGAATTGCACAAATAATAATTGCAGGCACAACATTGCATTCTCCAAACTAAGGGTGCATAACAATAAAAGGATCTTCTAGAAAGCTGGATTTCTTCCATGAATCTTATTAGTAATGATCAAATCAAGACTGGATTTTTTAAAATTTATGGCTTATTAATTATTTTGTAGTGCCTGTATTATTGAAGAGGTCAGACTAGATGATAACAGTGGTCCATTCTGGCCTTGAAATATATAAATAAATTCACTGTTTCAAGAATAGTTCTTCATCTGGCATATTACCCCAGTACATATGTATATTATGTTGACTGTCTGATTGGGATCTTCATCCTGCAACATGTGTAACTTTACACCTGGGCATTGGCCTACTCTGAGGGTCAAGGGCCAGATTTGTAAAAGTATTTATATGCCTAGAGATGCAGTTAAGTGCCTAATGCAATTTTCAAAAACACCTAGGTGCCTAACTCTCAGGAACTTCTGCACTATAGGGTTTTGCCATGGCAGTTAAGAACCTTGATACTTTTAAAAATCCCAGTAGGTGCCCATTTGCTTAAATACCGAGGTGCCTAAATACCTTACAAAATCTGGGCTCAGGCCATTTGATTGTAAATTCCTTGAAGTGGGGACTGTATCTCCCTTTATGTCTACACAGCACAGTGAACAGTTTGGCACTGTTTATTTAGATTTGCAATATATACGTACAGAAATCCCTTACATTTGCAAAATTTTAAAAATATGATCATATACAAAATAATGTAAAAAATGACTGTGGGAGGCCAATCATTCTACAACAGCGAGGCAGGAAAAGGAGCTCAGAATTAACCTGTCGCGGGAGGTGAAAGATGTACTAGCCACCTCTGCATGATAGGTTTTGCCCTGCTTTTGCCTAATGGGGTTCTAGACTGCCTACTGTGTGGTTCTATGACAGCTGAAGATGATGGAAACAGTTGCTTGGTTTACTCAGGAGATCTTTGGGAAAAGAGCCCTCTCCCATGCCTTGGGTCAACGGAGCTAAGTGGCTTGTGTACGTAAATTAATGGGAATTATGCACATGGTTATATAATAATTTGACCACTTTTCAAAGTTGAGTACCACAGTTAGATTGCTAAATCGATATTTAGGGAATTAATGTACTGACCTGGATTTCAAGGGACTGAACTTCTGTTCTGTTGCAGCGCATGCTCTTCGAGAACAGTGCTTTCTGGCGCACCTAGGAAAGAAGCCAAGTGCCAGCAAGAGTCAGTTGCCTTTTGCCAAGGGCAGCATTTCTCTATCAAAATTGTTTTGATGCTTAATTGAAAAGGAGTGGTCCCCACTATCATTCATTTGAACCTATAATTGGCTTTATTGAAAGCCATTAGCTTACTAGTGGTAGCGATACTGACTGGAATATTATATATGTCAGGGCACTTTAATGCACCACTTGAAACAAAGTAGTTTACAATAGGGGGAAGCATGAGTAGTGTTACTGATAAATCAATAGCCACATAAAATCACACTGGAATCCAGTATCATGACTATGGTTTCGTTCCTCTGTGAGCCAGGTGTAACATCAGGATGCCGTATGCCAACAATTGTTTAGCGATAGGATGATTACCCCACAGAATATGCTTTCTGTGCTACATTATTACCGATTCTTATGGCCATCAGCCTGCATAACAGAATAATTAGCAATCAGAGCACTAGAGACGAATATACCTAAAGCCTTTGAAACTAAGGCACAAAGAAACTAAGTGCTTGCCCTAGGTCACAAGGGAAATCTGTGGCAGAGCAGCAACTTAGCATAGGTCTTCCACATCCCAGGCTAAGATCCTAAACATTGGATCATCATTTCTCTCTATGTGCTCTTCCAGTGCTATGAATGAGGATGATTGACAGGCACACAGAGGAGCAAGAAGCTTTGGAGGTGAAAACTGTGGGGGTGACAGAATCATAGTATCCAGAAGAGGAAAAAAAGTCTGAAACTTGCTTTGTGGTAGCTATGTAGGAGAAGCTTCCACCTCAGAATTCTATTTTCACACTCACAGTGAGCAGCAAAAGGGAACATAAATCAATGTTGACATCAGTAGGAATTTCACACATGAGGTGGCCCTGGCAAATGCTATGTGAAAACATGCAGGGTTCGTGAGACATAGTGCATCTTCTGGTGAAGTCATAGAGCATCTCTGTATTATTTTCAGGTAAATACACTCCCAGAGATTCAGCACTTGCTTTGCAGAAGAGAAGGATTATGCCAGATAATTAGAGCTTTTCCAGGTAATCCTTTAATTTGTTTCAGTTTGCATAAATGTTGAAGATCCTTTGACCTGCTTAATAGAGAGGCTAATTCTCTCTGTGTTGGAATGTGTGGTTTCATATTTGTATATTCTTTATTTAGCAGAATTTAAAAACAAAATAAAATAGAAACAATTAGTCCATTTCAGACATCTCTTGAAAGTAATTTGTAGTAATAAAGGATCCTTTACACTAAACTTACTCCATCATTTAGCTAGTGGAGACTGGCAAAATCAATTTATTTTAGAATACAAACATCCTATATGTCAGACTATATTGTTGTTATTCCATGTATTTATGTTTATCCTTCAAAGCCCTTGGTTCAATGAATTACGTTTATTCAGCTTAACAAAAATATTGAGGCATGAAGAAGGAATAGGAGTTGGAGCTTGGTTTCCAGCCCAAGAGAGTTTACTTATTTAAAAAAAAAAAGTCTTGTGCATTAAATTCATCAACCAGAAAAGTTTAAAGGTTATGGACCAGCTGCCAGAGAATCCTAATTTACTCTGGGTAAAATCCAGCCCAGAGCACGGGTCTGGCTCAAAGCCCTATGCTCCATGTTAATCCCTAGTTAAATTCTATGGAGATAAATTCTGATCTCATTTACACCAGTGAATATCCGGTGTCTGGATTTACACCATATAACTGACATCACATCACGCTGGCCCCATGCTGAGTGTATAACTATGTCTTAAGTCCACTATGTCCACTGTGTGACCCTTTTGCTTTGGGATGTGTAGTAGAAGCTAGTCTGATACAATACTGATTTTGGACAAATTAGAGTTGATCTGTCAAAGTTCCAAGGATTTCAGAAATTGCTTTGATTTTGTAACAGTCTGGATTTGAAACATTCTGGTTAGCTCTGTTGCACTGTTTGGACAACAGCCAATTAAAAGAGTTTTATTATTGTGCTACCACAAAACCATGGACATAAGAGGCCCTCACCACAGGGAGAGATTTCCCCTCCAAGTCATACTTTCATTTATGTCCATAAATTGTAATAGTCATCTCTTGCTCGCTCGCTCACACACGCACACACACTGACTAGTGTTCTGCTTCTCTAAGCGCCGCTTTTAAACATCTGATTAATTCCTTTCTATCTTCCTTTCTATCCTTATTCACTAGATAAATGGGCCTAGTCTTGAGAGGTGCTGATGTCCCACTGAAGGTGCTGGGAGTTGAGTACTCAGCATTTCTCAGGACTTAGGCCCTTACTCACACAGACTGTGTGAGACTGCAGCACAGGTAGGCATGGTCACACTAACCTTAGCCTCACCAGCATGGCTAAAAGTAGCAGTTTAGACATGATGTACAGGCCTCAGTGTGGGCTGTTAATGTGGGTATGTACACAGAGTTCCGTGTAGGCTTCTTCAGCTTGTGCTGAAGCCTGTGCCACATCTTCCCTGCTATTTTTGACTATTCTAGCTCATCCAAGCTGCAGTCATGCTTGCAGTTGCATCGTACACAGACTCTGTGTCTGATGATGATTTTGACGGTTTATAAGACAAGCTCCTCAAGTAATGTAGGCTTCTAATTTTAGCTTCTAAGCAAAGATTTTTAGCAAGTCTAATACAAATAGACATATCTTTAAGATTTTTTTAAAATCTGTTTTTAATCTTAATGTTCCCTGGTGGTTTGAGAAACCAAACAGAATAGGTTTGTCCTACTGCATGAGATCTAGAGAGTGAAACCATCTAGTGTGGATTCCCTGTCCAGGAGGAATGACGGACACAAAATAAACCAATAGTTTAAAAGTGAAAAGAGGATGGGGGCTGTTGATCTCCCAAAATGTGTGATCCCTCCCTGCTATCACAGATCTCTTTTTCCTCTTTCCTTTTCTTGTCAGCACTTCCTGACAGACTTTTCATTTCAGTCCAGACAGCAGCATTGCCAAGAGTCTGGATTTGGCTGAGTAGTTTCCTGGATTTTGAAATGATCCCAGGAGAAACTAATCTCTCCTCTTGCAGTAGCACATGGGAATTTGTTTCTTTTAAAGCCAGAATTGGCTTGTTGATCCTGTGTCTCTGCCTGTGGGGGAAAGGAAACTCACCTGATCCTATTGGAGATGGCTTGTCAGCTTGTATTTCCCATCCATGCAGCATGTAACGGGAGTTCGCTATGTAAGGGAACAAGTAATAAACATGGTTGCTTACCCAGAAGAGCTTACAATCTACTAAAAGACAAGATGAGACAGGACAAGGGGTGACAATAAGGCAGAGGGATGGATTCACAACTGTAAGATTGTGTTTCCATTGATAGGTTATGCCACTTCATAATGCTTATAGACTAACTGAAGCGTAGGAGCATAAGCTTTCGTGGGCAAAGACCCACTTTGTCAGATGCATGTAGTGGAAATTTCCAGAGGCAGGTATAAATATGCAGGCCAGGATCAGGCTGGAGATGACGAGGTGGATCCAATCAAGGAGGATGAGGCCCACTTCTAGCAGCTGATCTGGAGGTGTGAATTCCAAGAGAGCAGAAGCTGCTTTTGTAGTTAGCGAGCCATTCACAGTCTTTGTTTAATCCAGAGTTGATTGTGTCAAACTTAAAGATGAACTGTAGCTCAGCAGTTTCTCTTTGAAGTCTGGTCCTGAAGTTTTTTTGCTGCAGGATGGCTACTTTTAGATCTGCAATTGTGTGTCCAGGAAGATTGAAGTGTTCCCCTACAGGTTTTTGTATGTTGCCATTCCTAATATCAGAGTTGTGTCCATTGATTCTTTTACGTAGGGACTGTCCAGTTTGGCCGATGTATATAGCAGTGGGGCATTGTTGGCACATGATGGCATATATTACAAAATGACAGTCTGGACCTCTACATAGAATGCTTCCGCCGACGTGCACAGGCAGAAATTGTGGAAAAACAGCATCGCTTGCCTGGTAACCTCAGTCGTGCAGAACGCAATGCCATCCACAGCCTCCGGAACAACTCTGACATTATAATCAAAGAGGCTGACAAAGGAGGTGCTGTTGTCATCATGAACAGGTCTGACTACCTAAAGGAGGCTGCCAGACAACTCTCCAATACCAAATTCTACAGGCCTCTTTCCTCAGATCCCACTAAGGAATACACTAAAAGTAGCCATCCTCGTCATCTCCAGCCTGATCCTGGCCTGCATATTTATGCCTGCCTCTGGAAATTTCCACTACATGCATCTGACGAAGTGGGTATTTGCCCACGAAAGCTTATGCTCCTATGCTTCAGTTAGTCTATAAGGTGCCACAGGACTCCTCGTTGCTTTTGCAGATTCTGACTAACACGGCTACCCCTCTGATACTTCATAATGCTTGTTTCCTTTTAAAATTGATGTATTTTCCCTAAAGCTGTGTGGAGCAGAGGTGTAATTATGTAAGGGGAAGGTTGTTTGCTGTGCCTTTAAGTGTAAAATGGGTGCTGTAGCTTGCCTACAAGGAAAGACGCACTCTGTTTGTTCAAAACTATATACACATAGTTTTGTTGCTCTCTAAGGTGCCATAGGACTACTTGTTTTTAAAGTCACAGACTAACACAGCTACCCCTCTAGGACAAGACATTGTAGTTCTTGTTTCTTTGTTTTTCCCCTTCACTGTAAAATAGTGTAACCAGACTGAAAACTCATTTGTTTTTTGTGTATGAAGAACCAGCCTGGGAGAGCTCTGGAGCAGTTCTGTGAGTGGTGGGAAAAAGGAAGCTGTGGAGGGAGAGGCAGAGAGAAGTGATCTGGCAATGAGGAGGAAAAGGTAACAGGTGTATATGAGGATGTGGTCATAGAGGGTGGGTAGGACAGAGCTATAGTGAGAGGGAAGGGTTGGGATGCAGCAAGATGAGAGACAAAGAGAGCTGCTAGATGCTGGGCTGATAGGGCAGTGGGAAGAGAGGGTTCTGTATAATAATGGAACATGTTGGTTAATATCAGGAGGCTTGAACCTGGGAAGGCTGGACCATTCTGCTTCTTGAGATAGTGGTGGCTGGCTGGAGGGGCATCCGGGGAGAGAGCTTTTCAACCTGCCTGCCCCCTGCCTGCCCCGTGTGGAGGAGATGGGCTGAAGCAACACAGTAGTCTGGGCTTGGCTGCTGCATGGTCTGGTAGGGGTTCAGGAGAAGACCCTAATGCTCATCCCTCTATTCCATGGTTCTCCTGTTGCTGGATGTTGTGTGCAGCTACAAGACTCTCTGAGAGAGATTTCTATAGGCGTATTAGCAATAAGAAGGTGATCAGAGAGGGTGTGGGATCCTTACTGAAAGAGGGTGGTAACTTAGTGACAGATGATGTGGGAAAAGCTGAAGTATTCAATACTATTTTTGCCTCTGTCTTTACAGACAAGGTCAACTCCAAAACTGCTAGGCAGCACAGTATAGGAAGGAGGTGGGCAGCCCTCGGTGGGGAAAAAATAGGTTAAGAAATATTTAGAAAAGTTGGATATACACAAATGCATGGGGCCAGACCTAATGCATCTAAGGATACTGAAGGAGCTTGCTGATGTAATTGGAGAGCCATTGGCCATAATCTTTGTAAACTTGTGGAAATCAGGGCAGGTCCTGAGCAATTGTAAAAAGGCAAATGTAGTGCCCATCTCTAAAAAAGGGAAGAAGGAGAATACAAGGAAATACAGATTAGTCAGCCTCACACCAGTCCCCAGAAAAATCATGGAGAGGATCTTCAAGGAATCCATTTTGAAGCACTTGCAAAAGGAAAGTGATCAGAAAGAGTCAACATGGATTCACCAAGGGCAAGTCATGTCTGATCAACCTGATTGCCTTCTGTGATGAGGTAACTGGCTCTGTGGACATGGAGAAGGTGGTGGACATGATAGACCTTGACTTTAGCATAACTTTTTATGCAGTCTCCCACAGTATTTTTGCCAGCAAGTTAAGGAAGTATGAATGGGATAAATGAACTGAAAGGTGGATAGAAAGCTGGCTAGATTGTCAGGATCAACAGGTAGTGATCAATATCTCAGTGTCTCGTTGGCAGTTGGTAAAATGTGGATGCATTGGAGAAAGC